CATACAATTGTTGTATAAACACTCTTCTCGTGACGAGGGACATGGTTCAAGTGATTAAGAGCACATACAATATCATTTCTGCTTAAACTTTTCATGTGATGTGACTGCTTAAATATGAAAGAGAAATTTCATATTACCAAGAATTCTGTTTACACTCGTGTTTCAATGGGTTTCTATTTTTATTCTAAACATTCTCTTCTCTGGACGCCCAACTCTTCACAAAAATGCCATTTCTCTACTTCATCAAAATATTTTTAAGTGGACACCTATCTCCATCATTGACTGATTTCATTTTGTTTGTCACCAACCCTAAACCCAGCTCTACTCATCACCCTCACTTCACCTCATTTAATATGCAATGATTGCATACGTGTAACGGAGGATGAGAGAATGATGACTATTTTAAGGGCATATATCCCTGCACTTAAGGTCTTAAGTGTGATTCCCTCCTCCCAATATTGCTTGTAACCAAAAACAAACAAAAACCCTTGATAGGCCAAACCCAGACGGACCTGGTTTTAAACTCGTTGGTCAGCTTGATAGTGGCTTATTAGTGTCCCAATTGGTTGGGAAAGAAATGTCCGCCAATTTTAGCATATACTCTTTTGGTCATTGTTGAACAGAGCACTTAACTTGATTGTTAATGACTAGGCCCAAGGGTATATTCTAGGTATGTTACCTTAGGCCTAAAATAACCCTTTTGTTGTGATGATCTTTAAGGGTGACCAAGAACTTACAAAATTTTGTTCATTAAACCATATAGTAAGATGAGAATGAAGAAAGTAGAAAAATAAGGTACACATGGGAAGATAGCTAGCATTTTTCTTATTTTTAACCGATTTTTATATATATCCAACAACGTAAACTAGAAAATAATTATATAAAAAAACGAAAATAATGAAATTCCAAAATCTTTTGGATCTGAAAGTCTAAACGTTTTCAGTTCTTCAATTTTCCTCACTCTTTGGTTCTCCATCAATTTATTTTTCTTATTGACTGCTATCTCGCCGTCTTATACCAAATCCAATATCAGCTCTGGTTTTTGCTACTCTTAACTTTTCTATTTCCGACATTTCAAGGAAAGATAAGGAGCCATGGTCTTGCATAAAAAATGTAAAATTATAGTTCCAATCTTATGAATGTCTTTTGATTCAAAGGTAATGTTCCCTCAAATGGAAGAGCTTAAGGAGTAGTATTAGCACTTCTCTATTGTTTAATATGTAATAAATGCGTATGTGTAAAGGAGAGATGAGATAATGATGACTACTTCAGAGTGCTAATACAATATTGGTTTACCTGCTTACGTGATTAGTGTTGTAGACACAACAGATTTTATCTCCACGTGATTAGTGTTGTAGACGCAAGGGATTTTATCTCTGGTTGTAAGTAAGATTCTCTCCATAAGGAGGCTATAAAGGCTTCAACATATGCAATTCCATGAAGGCCTGCAGGCCAATCATTGCTTTCTTCACTGGTTCATACTTTTTTCTCTTTAATATGTTGGCAGTAGAAGGATTTAAAATTCGGATATTTCAGTTCAAACCTCTCAGTTTAACCATATAGTTGAACCTAAAACCTCCTTTCAAAGCATAAAACAAGAAAACTTGAATGGATTATAAGTTATGTTCTTGAAGCTAATTGTAACCGACATAAGACGTTATGTAGTAGTGCTTGGAAGTGTGAGTGTGAATAAGAACAAGGACAAGAACAAGTATATAAAGAGAATGATACATGAAAAGGAATAAAAAGATATGTTAGTCATACTACTCTATATATCAATGATTGATAAAGCAATAATATATATAAGCTCTTCTATCTAGATATTAAGTAGGAATCTTTCAAAGTGAAGTATTGGTTTGATATGTTAAAAGCATAAAATTAAAACAACAACAAATGCAGAACTAGAAATTAATAAGTTAGAGAGAGAGAGAGAGAGAGAGAGAGAGAGAGAGAATGTATTTGTTTATTATTGGTATCTGATGACATACATACACATATAAATGTATTTGTTTATTATCTCATATATTTTGGCATTCTGCTCAGCTTTGGATTTATGAGTTTCAAGAATTATTACATCATAGATTATGATTTTGTTCTTGCCAATATTGTTAATGGTAGGGTAGACATGGATCGAATGAGAAAGAGGAAGATTGTGACAACCAGTGGCAGAGCCAGGAATTTATGTGTTGGGGAGCCAATATATAAACCAAATAAGACATTAAAAAATTTCAAATTTTCAACCTTTAACAATGTTTGTAAAAATAAAAGGTAGAAAACAATTGTTTATTCAATTAGGTATCAAAATAACACTCGTCATTTTTTCATATCTCGAAAACCATCTATAATTGAGGCAATGCTAAACTTTGCTTCATATAGGAACAAAAATTAAAATCTCAATCCTTCTTTATTTGGGTAAAAGTCTACTTCCTATTTGATAAAGGAGATTTTTTGAAACTTTATTTTGTTGGCTACTTTTATTTTTTATTAATATATTGGTGGGCCCAAAATTACTTAGTCTTTCTATTTGAAATCACTTACTGTTTTACTTGCAAAGAGAGAGAAACGTATCCTTCTTCTGTGAGGGGGCCACAAACAGTTTATTATTATATAAACTTCCTAAATGTGTAGGAAAGCAAGAACAAAAATGAAATGCAGTAAAAAAATTTGGGGGGGGGGGGGGCCAGGCCCCTTTAGGTCTTAACAAGGCTCCGCCACTAGTGACAACTCTAGTTGCAGTAGAGTTAGAAAAACAACGTTTGTGTGCATCCATGATGTTAGTAACTGTCATATAGATCCAATGGAGCAAGAATTTTATTATGATCCCCCCATTGAGAATAATGTAGATCATGGCACTATTGATACCATTGCAACATCCGACCAATGGTTTGTATGGAGGGATAATTTGGCTACTGAGATGTGTAATGAGTGGATGGCAAATAGAGCAACATAACATAAGTATTTGTTGATCATTTGAATGTACTTAAAAGAATTTTCATGTCATTACTAATTTTGTGAATTTTTGGACTATTTTTATAGTATCTTCATGTGATTTCTTATTTTTAATTTTGCTTGCATGTTTTTTTATATTGAAGTTAATTATTTCTGATATTAAATAATTTTAATAAATTTTAAAAATAAATTTTGTTTGAAGTCCAATGCAGTCCAGCCCATACTTGTACCAAACAACGGACTGGGCTTTAGTCCAGTGCAGTCTAGCCCAACTTAATGTACCGAACAACTTATTAAAGTCCATTCCAATCCAAGCCAAACCAGTCCACCAGTCCAACACTCCAAGCCCAATCCTAACCAGTCTAGTCCAGCCTACCAAACAAGGCCTTAGTGTCCCAGCAAAGGGTTGACAAGACTGATAAAATATGCATTCATCATTGTCCAGGAATGGAAGCGAACCATTTGTGCTATTGAAATCTGAATGAGGCATATTAGTTTGTTGGGAGTGGTAGAGTAATGATTCCAAAGGCGGCTGCACAGGCCGTGGGCTAGTTTGTAGTTGCACTTTGGTTGGCCAATGTCAGCTGGTTCACAAGGTTATAGGGACAGACCTGCAGCTAATTTATCTTCGATTCCCTGTCCTGTAGAATTCAACTGGCTTAATTGATCCGCGGAAAAATCAGTATCTAATTTTGTCTTGTAAGTACTTATTCCAACTGGTGTTTGACTTCCAAACTTTGTTAGGTTGTTCAACTTTCCTGGTAGAATTGCATGAGATGTGTTCCACGTTTATTGCAGCAGATTGATCCATAGATGATTGGGGAGGGTTTTGATTCGGTAGAGATATACCTTCTGAAAAGACACCCGGATTCTTTTGGTTGAGTTTGGCCTGCATGGTCTTCATATCTGCCAGCTATTAAATCTCCATTAGCAGCCGATTGCTGTTGTAGAGCAGCTAAAGTTCCAGCATGATTAACAAGTTGAGGTTTCAGTAGCATATTGACTAGCTGTTCCAAACATAGATTTGAAATCGAGTAAGGAAAAGAGTTCCCATTTCCAATCTCAGGAAACCGAATGAGAGGAAAGAATGACCAAAACAGAGCCACACATTTACAAGGAGAAGCTGACCCCAAATTTACAAGGAGAAGCTGTACATTGCAAATAGATGACCAAAACAGAGCCACACATTGTAATTTGAAATCAAGTCTGTTTTGGCTTTGGCGTAGTTAATTAAAATAACACTATAGCTGGAATTAATACATTAATCGGAGTGAGCTTGGATTAAAATGTCAGTGGAGTTTTGCTCACTATTCTTGCTTTAATTGTAATGTCTTGCTTATTTGTATGATTTGTTGTTTGCAAGAACCCTCCTCTAGGGCAGTGTTCTTCATGTATATTTTATAATTGCCTCTGTTATGATTGGATCTGAATGGATTTGTTTATTTCTCTCAATAATAATAAATAATAAAAAATCAATCGGAGAACTCCGAATTAATTGTTCTGATGACAAGTAATTAATACTAATATAAATTATATTTATTCCTATTAAGCACTCCAAATTAACTCGTAAACTCTTCTCCAGATATCCGTGCGTGTGCATACCGGCAATGTTCCACACTTGAATTGAAAGGAGGCATTCAACTATAGCTACTTTTCTCCTAATTTAGATGCTGCAGCTAAATATCAAAGTAAACAAATTAATACCCGTCAGTTTGGAGAAAAGAAAATAATGCAATAAGAAAATAATTATAAAACAAAATTAATGATGAGAGAAAAAGAGTACCGCCGCGAGTTTATCTATTAAGCATATGCTTGCTTTAGCTGCTGCTTAATCAAAGCTATCCTCACATAAAGCCAATCATTTAAATCATTCAAGAACTTGAAGTATGTATAATCTCCATGGCTTGTTGAATATCAAAGTGCCACAAACTCCCCAAAATCTAGCAGCAAACCCAATCCCCATACTGATGTAAAATCCCAGGGTTATAAACTCATCCTTATCCTCTTCATTTCTGAAGCCAGTTTACTCATTTTGATCAGCACACATCTTTTTAAGTGGAGGTCCACAGAGTAGAGAATTTTTCAGCATAATCAAGGGGATCAAAGCTTTGGAGCTGAGTGCCTGTTGGTATTTTACCAGACAAGTTGTTATATGACAAGTCCAAGAAACTAAGACGATCTATCCGAGCAAGGCTTGTCGGAATTCTTCCATCTATTTGGTTTCTTGACAAATCAAGAGTATCCAACGACTGCAAGTTTCCAATCTCTGGAGTTATTTGACCTGTTAACCGGTTTCTTGAAAGGTTTAAAGAAACCAACTCAACAAGATAAGTGATTTCACTTGGAATCTCCCCTGTTAATCTATTGCTTGAGAGATCAATTCTCTTCACAAGGCCTAAAGTGCTTTTGTATGTCTGCATTCTTCCTTTCCATATGAAGCTTGCATCATCCTCATAATTAGTACTAACAATTGAGTTATGATCCACATTTCTGAAAAAAGTATGTGTGCTGAATAGACTTGGATTTCCTTTTTGAGCCAGAGTAGTCAAATTGTTGAGGCATTTGGGTATTCTTCCAGAGATTTTCATAGAGAAATCCATAATTTGAATGTGTGTTAGATGGCATAATTGTGAGGGCATGCTTCCATTGAAGTGATTAGTGGAAAGCATCAGGATAACCAAATTATTGAAGCTCACACCTAAGCCTGTAGGTATTGGTCCTGATAATTTATTATCTCCCAGATCAATAACCTCTAAACTTTTGCAGTTCTTCAAGGATGAAGGCAATTCTCCAACAAATCGGTTGCTGCTTAATTTCAAAGTTTGCATTTGAAATAAAGAGCCTATTGTCATGAGAATTTTTCCGGAAAAAGCGTTGTTACTCAAATCAAGCATGACTAGAGTCTCCAAATGGCTCCAGCAATCTGGAAGTTCTCCAGAAAAACTGTTGCTTGAAAGATTAAGATATGTTAAACTCATATCTGCACTTGCACATAGGAAAGAAAGCGACCCTGAAATGTTATTATTAGAGATCCAGATATGAGGCTTGTGATAGAGTCGAGAGAATTGGACCTTCTATTTGGTTCGAACTCAAATGTAGTTCTGGGTAATGTGCAAACTCCACTGTCAAATTTGTAAATATTCCAATGATTAGGTTCTGTGAGAGATTAATAAGGTATGCGTTACGAAAATGACTCCAAAACCATTTTGGAAAGATATCAGAAATTCCAGCATTCGAAATATATCAAGCTGGGAAGAATCATTTTGAGTTTGAAGCCATTTTGGGAAAAGAGGACCGACCTTGCAGGACGCCAAAAAACATCTAACAGACTTCCCAAGAATCCAGAGTGTAATGGTCGTTTAAGACTCAAAGTCAGAGAAGGAAATATGAAAAGATTTTCAGGAGTCTCAATTTCCCATGAACTAACCCTGTTCTGTTTATCACAACACCCTGGCTCATCCCACTCTACCTGTTAATGAAGTGAATGTAGAAGAATCAACCGTTGAACATTTAAAGCAAACAGAAAGACCCTTCATTATAATGAAGATCACTTAGTAAAAGCTCAGAGTAGCTTAAGCCACCTAAAGATTCCGCCACTTTGAACCAGGCCATCTCAGTGGATCTAAATCACTAATACCGACTATTGTACCCATATACCTGCAGAGAACATGCAAAAATGTTAACCTCTGGCCACACTTTAAAGCAATGAACATAACATTATCACATTGATAATGAAGATGTTAATGTATCATGTAGAAAATATTGAAACCTGCTGCATTCTATCATCATAGAAAAGATTACGAAAGACCAGACAGATATCTGGAACCATTAAAAGGGTTTACTACACCAATCACTGCTGTTTATTTCATCATGACATGCTGTGGCACGTAATTAATTTACAATGAAATTTGGTCATTATGTTCAAACGCTTGACGAGATTGTGAAAAAGAGTTAGAGAAGTTGCAGGCGATGCTGCCAAAAGATCACGAGAAGCTGAAGACAAGTGTTTGAACGTGCGTTTGAATAAAACAAGGAGTATGAGTGTGGGTTAATATTATTTATGATATGTGCCATTAGATTCATCTAAGGGCCGTTTTTAAAGAGGACCTCACATGACCTTAGGTGAGTGCTGTTGGGAAAGATGGCGAAAAATAAAAGAGCCAATAAATAAATATGGCATTCCCAGGATCTGACTTCTCCCAGCCTTGTGTAAATAAAATGGGCAAAATTAACACTCTATCTTCCACTAAGAAAAAATAATGGGAATACAATAATAATCTCACCAAACACCGATGGCTAAACTCTCTCTTGGGTTTTCTCTCAAGAGGATTTTCTCTCTCACACAAGTGAGGTTTTCTTATCTCTCAAAACTCTCTATGTTTTGGTTTTCTAAGGGATGCCTATAATTGAAAGAATGCAATTGCTTTTATAGGCAAACGTTCCTAACTAATTGGTGGCCGTGCATGAAAGAGAATTCTTCTCATTTTCTCTTCCATTCATTTTCTTCAAATTTTCCCGTCCTTTCTTTCATTTTATTTTGATATTTATTTCCTTCTTTTTCTCTCCTCCATTAACGAGGGAAACCCATCAATCTCCCCCTCTCGACTTAGTTGGAGGGCTCCAGCAATCCAACTGCTCCTCTGCAAAATTCGTACTTGTCCTTAGGTAAGGACTTGGTCATCATATCTGAATTATTGTCATCAGTATGGATTTTCTCAAGCTGTAATTGCTTAGACTCCAATACATCACATATCCAGTGATATCGCACATCAATGTGCTTCGACCTCGAGTGAAAACTCGGATTCTTGCTCAAGTGGATCGCACTTTGACTATCACAATGCAAAATGTATTTATGCTGCTCTTGTCCTAGTTCTTGTAGGAATCGCTTCATCCAGAGCATTTCTTTGCATGCTTTAGTAGCTGCAATAAACTCTGCCTCTGTAGTTGATAGAGCAACACATTTCTCTTACTTTGATTGCCACGAAACTGCTCCCCCTGAAAATGTAATCAGGTATCCTGAAGTAGATTTTCTGGAATCAAGATCTCCTACCATGTTTGCATCTGTGTAGCCAATCAATTCAGGTTTTCCACCTCCAAAGCATAAACTCATTTTGGAGGTACCCCTGAGATATCTGAGAATCCATTTCACTGCATTCCAATGCTCTCTGCCTGGTTTAAACAGGAATCTGCTTGCGTGCATTATGTCTGTCCTCGTGCAAATCATTGCATACATCAGACTACCAACAGCTGAGGAATATGGCACCATAGCCATGTTTTCTTTTTCTTTCTCACATGTAGGACTCTGCTTTGAACAAAGCTTGAAGTGACTAGGAAATGGAGTAGAAACTGGTTTTGCTTTATCCATGTTAAACCGCTTTAGTACCTTCTCGATATAACTTTCTTGTGATAACCTCAACTTCCGAATTTTTTTGTCACGGGATATACTCATACCGAGGATTCGTTTTGCGGGTCCTAAGTCTTTCATAGCAAAAGACTTGCTCAACTCTTTCTTCAACTTGCTAATCTTGTCACTGTTTTGTCCTACGATCAACATGTCATCGACATAGAGAAGAAGTATGATGAATTCACCATCATCAAATCTTTTCACAAATACACAATGGTATGAAGTAGTCCTCCGATATCTGTGTTCAATTATGAAGGAATCAAACTTCTTCAGGCGCCTGCTTGAGTCCATATAAGCTATTCTTCAGCCGACATACCAAATCTTCTTTTCCTTTGACTTTAAATCCTTCTGGCTGCTCCATGTAGATTTCTTCTTCAAGATCTCCGTGAAGAAAAGCTGTCTTCACATCTAGTTGTTCGATCTTGAGATTCAGGCTTGCAACCAAACCGAGTACAACCCATATGGATGACATCTTCACTACAGGTGAGAAAATCTTTTCAAAGTCAATTCCTTTCTTCTGACTGAATCCTTTCACAACTAGCCTTGCCTTAAACCTAGGCTTAGAGTTATTTTCTTCTGTCTTCAGTCGATACACTCATTTGTTCTTGAGTGCTCTTCTACCTTTTGGTAGGTTCACCAGATCATATGTGTGGTTCTCATGCAGAGATTGCATCTCTTCATGCATGGCTTTCAACCACTCATCTTGTTGATCATGAGTCAATGCTTCTTCATAGCATTCTGGTTCTCCCCGGTATGTTAGGAGAACGTAATCATCTGGAGAATACCTACTCGGAGGTCTCCGTACCCTGGTCGATCTTCTTGGTTGGAATTCGGCCACTGGCTCTTCATGGGCTTGTGCTTCTAGCCCCTCATCAGCTACATCATCTACTATACCATCAGTTGTATGATCATCACTCGTGTCATCATCAACTGGTTCATTTATAATAGGATCACTAG